TGTTTTGTAACCAAAGATGACAAGGGTGATCTTGAATCCCTAGACACAAAAATTTTCTGGATCAGGGGTGATGACTAAAGTTAATCATGCTAAAACTGTTAAAAATCATTGAGAAATCTGACCCAAACTGATGTTATAACACAAATAATGCATACTTTTACATTAAATTGTATATTGTGTTTATATCATTATAATATTGTATGTACTTTATATGTTATTATCATTTTGAGGACTCTAAGGAAGATTAGTTATAACTAATGGGAATATCCTCTTGAAATAAAGATTATTTATTATATACTTAGTAGTAAATACAGATAAATTGTATGTGTAATACAATCATTGGCAAGCGTGCTGTATCAGCCACCCATGATGATATCGATATCAGCACGGTTGCAAAGGCTTTATCACACCTTTAATCTGTATGACGTCACGTCATCGATTGCAGTCAGTGTTGCAAAGGCTTTATCAAACCCCTTATCTGAATGAAGTCATGTCAAACCTATAATCTGTATGACGTCATTTCAAACCTCCTTGCCTGTATGACGTCATGTCACATAAAAAACATCTACGTGAGGTATATAATAAAGTGTATATGATATGGCATTTTCATTATCACACATCGTATCAACCCTCAACCAATATAATCCCTCGAGCAGAGCTCTTGGGATTATATTGGTGTCTCGGGTTGATACGGATGTGATATTGAAAAAGCCATATGATATTCTCTATTTATTTATCTATTTATCCCTGAGGGGTAATTTCTTCGTCATTTATAATATGATGTGCCAAAAGAAAGATACTCTGTATCACTATTTATATCGAAACTACTTCTATGTGAAATTTGTGGTATTTTGTATAAGAGCAGACAACAGCTGAAGGCCACCAATGGGTCTTCAATGCAGCGAGAAAATCCCGCAACCAGAGGTGGTCCTCAGTTGGCCCCTAAATGAAATTGTGTGCTAGTTCAGTGAAAATGGACGTCACACTAAACTCCAAAACATATAAATGAACTAAAATTAAATAAAATGCTTCGCTGGGGCGCAGCTTGATACGACCGCAGAGGTCGAACCCTGAACAGTTGGGGCAAGTATGGACACAACATTCAAGCTTGATACAGCTCTGAATTTGGATTGTTATTAAATATTTGACACAGCATAGGTTTCTGACACAGAAAGAATGTGGTCTAAGAATTTGAATTTTTTTAATTTACCTATTATGGTCCAATGTCCAAAATCAAAATACATGGTTAGATTCAGCATATCAAAGAACCCCATATATTCAATTTTTGTTAAAATCAAACAAAGTTTAATTTTGGACCCCAACTTGGACAAACTTGAAAACTGGGCCCATAATCAAAAATCTAAACACATGTTTAGATTCAGCATATCAAAGAACCCCAAGAATTCAATTTTTGCTAAAATCAAACTAAGTTTAATTTTGGACCCTTTGGACCTTAATGTAGACCAATTTAAAAAACGGGACTTAAAATTAAAAATCTAAATACACGGTTAGATTTGGAATATCAAAGAACCCCAATAATTCAATTTTTGATGAAATCAAACAAAGTTTAATTTTGGACCCTTTTGACCTCAATATGAACCAATTTGATAGCGGGCCCACAAATAAAAAATCTAAATTCATGGTTAGATTCAGCATATCAAAGAACCCCATATATTCAATTTTTGTTGAAATCAAAAAAAGTTTAATTTTGGACCCCAACTTGGACAAACTTGAAAACTGGGCCCATAATCAAAAATCTAAACACATGTTTAGATTCAGCATATCAAAGAACCCCAAGAATTCAATTTTTGCTAAAATCAAACTAAGTTTAATTTTGGACCCTTTGGACCTTAATGTAGACCAATTTAAAAAACGGGACCTAAAATTAAAAATCTAAATACACGGTTAGATTTGGAATATCAAAGAACCCCAATAATTCAATTTTTGATGAAATCAAACAAAGTTTAATTTTGGACCCTTTTGACCTCAATATGAACCAATTTGATAGGGGGGCCCACAAATAAAAAAATCTAAATACATGGTTAGATTCAGCATATCAAAGAACCTAATATATTCAATTTTTGTGGAAATCAAACAAATTTTAATTTTGGACCCCAATTTGGACCAACTTGAAAACTGGGCCCATAATCAAAAATCTAAATACATGTTTAGATTCAGCATATCAAAGAACCCCATATATTCAATTTTTGTTGAAATCAAACAAAGTTTAAATACTGGACCCTATCTTGGACCAACTTGAAAACTGGGCCCATAATCAAAAATCTAAACACATGTTTAGATTCAGCATATCAAAGAACCCCAAGAATTCAATTTTTGTTAAAATCAAACTAAGCTTAATTTTGGACCCTTTGGACCTTAATGTAGACCAAATTAAAAAACAGGACCCAAAATTAAAAATCTAAATACACGGTTAGATTTGGAATATCAAAGAACCCCAATAATTCAATTTTAGATGAAATCAAACAAAGTTTAATTTTGGACCCTTTTGACCTCAATATGAACCAATTTGATAACGGGGTCCACAAATAAAAAATCTAAATACATGGTTAGATTCAGCATATCAAAGAACCCCATATATTCAATTTTTGTTGAAATCAAACAAAGTTTAATTTTGGACCCCAATTTGGACTAACTTGAAAACTGGGCCAAAAATCAAAAATCTAAATACATGTTTAGATTCAGCATATCAAAGAACCTCATATATTCAATTTTTGCTAAAATCAAACAAAGTTTAATTTCGGACCCTTTGGACCTTAATGTAGACCAATTTGAAAACTGGACCCAAAATTAAAAATCTAAATACACTGTTAGATTCGGCATAACAAATAAATAAATGTGATCAAAGATTTTACAAATCTAATGCGCCATACTGTGCAATTAAAGATTACTTCTTGAAATTTTTCAATATTTGAAATTTGAAAAAAAAAAAATATTTGAAGAATAATTTCCCTCAAGATATAGTCATAATCTCAATTCAAATTTCCAATGGAGTTGGCAACCATAATTACCCATTTAAATTTACCATAGTGCTAACTTAATCTATTTTATAATAGAATTAAAAATATAGTGTCAAATCTTTCATATGGATTTTTTTGTAAAAAAAAAAGATGCAACATTTGCAGATATTTTTACTGGTCTTCCTTTATAAATATGCATTTCTTTAAACATAATTTAAAAGCAGTGTAAGGGAAGTAACTAAAACGTTGTATTTGGATTACCTCCCTTACACTGTTTTAAATTATCTTTATTGTTCATTAACCATTACTTTATATATAATTTAAAAGCAGTGTAAGGGAGATAATTTCAATGATGTATTTGATTTATCTCCCTTACACTGCTTTAAATTATGTTTTGTACTAAAGTATTTGTCCATTAACCAGGACAACATTGTTTTTCCCCCTTTTTTGCCCCTAATTCCTAAACGGTTTGAGCCATAACCCCCCAATGCAAATCCTTACCATCCCTTTGTGGTATGGAAACTTGTAGTATAATTTCAGAGAGATCCATACACCGTTGCACAGTTATTGTCTGGAAACTAGAAAATGCTTATTTTTGGCCCCTAATTCCTTAACTGTTGGTACCATAACCCCCAAAATCAATCCCAACCTTCCTTTTGTGGTATTTAACCTTATGGTCAAATTTCAAAAAGATCCATTCACTTAAACTAAAGTTAGAGTGCGAAAACCAATGTGTATTCGGACGACGGCGCCGGACGACGACGACGCCGGACGACGACGACGACGACGCCAACGTCATACCAATATACGACCACAAAATTTTTTTGCGGTCGTATAAAAACATACTTGACTAACAAAGGTCAGAGGCTCCTGACTTGGGACAGGCGCAAAAATGTGGCGGGGTTAAACATGTTTTGCGAGATCTCAACCCTCCCCTATACCTCTAGCCAATATAGAATAAAGAAACACATAGCAATACGCACAGTAAAACTCAGTTTAAAAGAAGTCTGAGTCCGATGTCAGAATAGGTAACAAAAGAAACTAAGCAAAATGACAATGATACATAAATGAACAATGGACTACTAGCAGTTACTGACATGCCAGCTCCAGACCTCAATTAAACTGATTGAAAGATTATGTCTTCATATGAAAATCAAGTACAATCCCTCCCGTTAGGACTTGATTAAAAATATATCAAAATCTTAAGGCCAAGTTTTACCCTTCGTGAACTGACTCCTTTCATAATGTTTGGTAGAGGCAGAGTAAGTTAGAGTCTAGAAACATCAAATCCAGCAATTTTACCTTTTTTAAAGACATTTATAAAGGGACATAACTGGAGAACAGTCAAAGTGATGACATCAAAATTCGAAATTGATTTGTTTTTTGTGATAATAGCATTGTGTTTTAGTTTTATAACATTTGGTTGAGGAAAACTAGTTATAGAAGGGGAACCAAAACATGACTTAGGGACATACTCACTGATGGACACACAGACGAACGTACAAACAAGGGTAAACCTTTATGCCCCTTGCCTAGCAGCTAGAGCATAAAATTAAATAACAAGGTAGAACTGGTTTTAGTGAACTAAAATGTTTGTCTCCCACTCCATTTAAAGTCACAACTAACACATTTTAGTACTGGGAAGGTATTGTTGTGGAAAATAAGTATATATATTGTACATGGGTGGAAAAAGTGCCAGAAGGAAGAGCCACTTCTTCGCCCCACACGCCGGTAGTGTGAGCCCTGCTATATCTATATAACATGTTACCGTTCTAAACTATAAATCAAAAAGCGAAAGCGCAGGAAAAGGTATTTGCTGTAACCTAAAATAACTTTCTTTATGAAATCAAGCAAAAACATACTTTTTACTTGATTTTGAAACAACTTAAGAATGAAAAATGTATGCACTCTTTTCTAAGTCAGTCAACAGTGTGCAACCAATGCCAAAAATAGGAAATGCTTATATAAAATGTCACTTTATTACTTTAGACTGATAAGAGTGCTAAGAAATTTTCACAGTACCTGTTGGGAAACATGATTCTCAAAATCATCAACATTGGACCAGAGTTTCTCAAGATTCACATAATACTCTCTCAGTCCATCATAAATTCTTCTAACTTGTCTTATAATCTCCTCTCCTTGAACATCTGTGACATTCTTTAATTCAGGCAGGAAGGCTTTCATTACAATGCATAGCTCTTCCCTCAAAGTCTTCTGATACTCACTATTCCCTCGCCAGGTTTTAAATTGTTTGTATCTTTTTAAAAGAAATTCAGGAACCACACTTTTGTCCTCCTTCTCCAAATGCCCTCGGACAATTCCATCATATATGTGGTAAGTTTCTAAAACAAGATAAAATCAGATGCTGACAACATCAGATGCTTGTTTTGATTATTAATTTAGCTTAGATATGACCAAGATCAAATTCAACTCAAAGATATCTGAAAATTAATACTGATACTGTTTATTCAGAAACTTGTGCCTGCATTTATTATTGGTATTGTTAAACAATGGACAAAAATGTGAGTTTATTATTGATACATACAATTAATGCTCTCATGGAATTAAATGTGAGTTTTTTATTTTTGCAAAACCTATTCTGTCAAAATTATCACTATGATAAACCTTTGCAAAAATATCTGAATTTACAGTAATCCTCTTTAATTAGATCTTATAAACACTGTGGGTACCCATAGTTTTTTCACAACATATATACAGGTACTTCTTCCGTCATTCTATGGAAAACCTACAAATCAATTTTGTTCATGTCACTAAAATTTTTCATAGCTGACCATTCATTCTTTTTTAGGTAATGGTAAACATTTTGTCAGTATATACTTCCAAATGGCATTACTAAAGCTAAACAAGAGTGCACATACTATAACACATGTAACAATGTTTTACTGGTGTTTAAATTTCATGTTTAAATTCTTCAAGATCGAGGTCTTTGTAAAATTATCACGTATTCAACTCCAATCTTAATTGACTAGGATTTTCAAGTTTTCTGCCAAGGGTCAGTGGTTCTCTCCTGGCACTCTGATTTTTCCTCCACCAAAAAAACTGAGCATAACAATATAACAAATAGTGCTGAAATTGGCATCAAACAACAACAATCGATTAGTCATTAAATTTTATCACATCAATGATCCATGACATTGAGTAAATTCTAAATAAAACCTAAAAGAATTAATAACCAACATTAATTTTCCTGAAAGAAATCTATCAAAATTCAACCTGCAATATGTTGGGATAATTCATGCAAATAAAAGATATCGCATCAGATCTGATACCAGTCAATTTGAGACATAAATTATTGGGGCAAATTTTCTCATAGAATCTATGTCATTCAAATACTTTATTAATCAGCAAATTTATGTGAATTAAGTTTTTTATCCTACTTTTGATGAGATTCATTACATTCTCTGTGTAATGTTTTAGCTTTGGCTTATCTTATTTTTCTACTTCATTATAATACCTTTTTTCTCCAACATGTTGTGGCTCAGTTGTCTTTGATTTAATGTTTTCTCTCCATGATTAAGAACAAATTCTTGAATTTCTTTTCCACTCACTATAACACAGTAGTTGTATGACAATGTAGAAAAGTGTGATCTATTAGGAACACTAATTATTCCTTCATATTCAGCAAATCCATCACCAAGCTCCCTGTTAAAATATTTACTTAAAATGCTGAATTGGAGGGTAACATTTACAATAATCACTACATTCATTGCTTTCCTTTATATCTTTTATGGTAAGTTTTTTTTTTTCTTCTTTTAATTTCAAAACTCTTAAGAAATGTCAAATAAATATATTTGCAATAACACTGATCATAACCTTGAATCACATATTTTTAACAATTGAAAAATTCTACTGATAAATGATAAACAGGTATACAGTGAGCAAATGATACCTCTATCTCCACATACTTATTCTTTTATTTCGGAGGGTATCAATTTTAAGGTTTGAAGACAACTTGTATTTTTGTGAACTCAATTTCATGGTTTTGTAAAAGTATACATATAAGCATTTTTGGGAAATTTATACTTCACTAAATATTTAAATCTAAATTGGTGGTTCATCTATACCCACAAAATCAACGAAAACATGTATCCAACAAATAATAATGAATCAATGGTATTTCAAATTTCAACATGATATTGAAAGAATTAAAAACAGCCAAGTTAGGGAGGGATGCAACATTTATGTGTAACTAAGACTGTTATAAAATATCATGGGATAAGTTGATAGTCAACACGACTCACTGAAAATACATAAAATGTAATCCTATAACTCAAGAAAAAAATTTGGAGAACCATTAAGCTAAAAAGTAACAAGCATTCTGAGAGTATTACATGGCAATATATAGTCCCCTACCGGTTAAAAATTAATTGTACTAGAACAATATGCTAACTTGATCTATATTATCAATAGATATAAACAATTCACCAAAGTTTCTTGCAAATTGGTGAAAATGTTTTTGAGTTATTGTCCGAAAACTAGAAAATCCCCCTTTTTTAATGAATAAAACCCACAACTCGGAAACTTAAAATCTAAAATTTATAAAAAACGAAAGGAAGCTCACATTAATAATTATAAACAATTCACCAAAGTTTCATGCAAATTGGTTAAAGCGTTTTTGAGATATTATCCAACATGTTGACGATGGACGGAACAGACGGGCGGATGGACGGACAACGGTATACCATAATACGTCCCGTAAACGGGCGTATAAAAATATAATTTGCATCCATTTATCTTATAAACTGAAGAAAACTTTTTAGAAAATCATCTAAGATGAAATCATTGGGAAGGTTTTTCCATACAGCTAACCAGATATAGTTTTCCAATAACAAAAGCATACTTTGTCTTAAAGCTTTTGTGATATTCACCAAAAAACACATTGCTGAACACTAGCTGAATTTTAAATGTTACTTTCATCAACCTCCAAAAATTAAAACAAGATTGCACATGTTGTTCTGTCACACAACTTATAATTCAAAGTATTGGAAAACAGACATTAGGTAACAGAGAGAGATCCTTTAAGTGCATACTCATTACAATTTATCACAGTCAAGCTGCTGACCAAATATGAAGTAGTTCTATTCAGTCGTAATGGAGAAATGTCTTAAAAAATTTCTTTAGTTCTTTCAACATTTAAAGTAAAAGAATGTGTCCGAGGACACAAATGCCTCCACTCAAGCTTTCCAATTTTCCAAGTTAAAAAGGGGCATAACTCTAGAACGGTAACTGACTCACAACCCAAATTCGAACCCTGTCTGCATGTTGTGGTTCTTAGCATTGTGTTTGAGTTTCATAACAAACTTAAGATAGAGTGCGGAAACAAAAATGAGATGGATGGACGAACAGAAAGACAGACAGAAGGTCAAGGGTAACACTTAATGAAAATTCAAAGTACTGTCAATACAGAAAGTTTTGCGATGTTTTTTTATAATTGTAAAAATTGTGTTGGGAAAGGTTTTGAAAAAATTCATTTTTTTACAGTTAACAGAAGATGCAAAGTGATTAAAACAGCTCAATGACCTACTGGTGTATTTGTCCATGTTAACTCATGCCAATTTTCTGCTTAAACAAATGCTAGCAAATAGCAAATACAGAGAAAAGGAGGTTGTATTAAAGTCGTATATCCTCAGAATCAACATTTTTATGTAATATTAGGCCAATTTTCCAGTGTTCTCAATACAGTAACATTAATGTCCCGAGTTAAAACCCTATGAAGTCATTGAAGTCACATTTTTAGTAAATAAATATGGAATTTTTATAAGCTTGTTTGTTTGTTTCCCTTCACATAAAGCCCTTCGATCCCAAAGAATTGCAGTCTTTGTCCTACTAGAAAAGAAACGATTCATATTGGCTTCAATTAATATTGATTTTATCATGGGTTGGCCCTTTATGCTAATATCGTACACCTCGCTGTTGCTTGTGGTAAAATATTTAGCATAAAGGGCCAACCCATGGTTAAATCACAATAAATTCAAGCCCCAATGAATTATTTTTTAAATAACAGTGCAAGCAACGTACCTTTTAAACTTCAATTTTTGTTCAGCTTTATTTTGAGATATTCCTTCAATTTTTATTATAACAGTGTCTTCCCTAGAATCACTGAGTAAAGAAGGTGCTACAATAACATGAAAACAATAATCCCTCTGCACTTGATTTTTGTTAGCATTTCTTTGTAGGTCTTCTGGTTTTCTTTCTGCATTACTGAAATGTCAAGGAGGCATGTATCTTATAAATGACATTGGAAGTGTACACATTTTTGCTATTTTGATATACCTTTTTTTTTAAAGTTAAGCATGTTTTAATTCGTAATATATCTTTATATGACTGTTATGTAAATTATAAATCGATTCATGTTTTTAGTTTTTCATTTTGTATAACATATTTACATTTGTTAACCATGTAAATCAATCTGTATTTCCGCACTTACTTTTTTAAGCTGAGAAGATAAAATGTTGAAAGTTATCTAGCAACAATTTGATTAGAGAGACAAAACCAGTAATATCAAAATTTAATTTGGGTCCTCAAATGCTAAAAAATTATTATATTGAGACTCACTATTGGTTGATCACTTATTAACCAACTTGCAAAAGTCACCTTTGTTGGACTTTCCAAGACCTCAAAATGACCCACTATGAAAAATGACAGTATTCTTTCCCTTCAGAATATAAATGAAATGGATTTTGATTTTCTATGTGACTTTCATTGTATCCTTTCAATCATTTCCATAGAAATGGGAAAAATTCTCTGTGTTTATTTATTATTGTTGTGTTTATTTATTATTGTTGTTGTTGTTGTTAAGATTTTCTACAGTTAGTCACCTTCTTGAATTCTGATGTCCTGATGTGTTCTGTAGTGCGTTCCCATGCTGTCAAAAAAGAATTGAAGAAAATATTGAAAAAATAATGTAATTTGTTTTCTTTTTTTAATATTCAAACACATTGCAATATCATCAAGGAAAACACATGCATTTTTATTTGAGGGAAAAAGGGGGAGGGGGGAATTATTTCAAAATACCAAGTGTTGTCAGCCAATTGAATTGATGCTATCCTTAATTACTCATGGATATGAGATGTACTAATGCTAATAAACTGAACAAATATTAGCAATTTGTTAGTAGGCAAAAAAAACCAAACTTGTAGCTCAGTCCTAACTTTAAAAAATAAAAAAGAAGGAAATACTGGTACATAAAAAATCAGTAATTTTCGCTCTGATTGGAAAAAAGATTTTCCTTTAAGGTGTCCAAAAATCGTCTGAGTCTAATTAGCACTGTTTGTAACAGCCTTTTTATGATTGTGAATTTAGAAATAATTCATGTTGGACATTTACACATGGCCTGGGCCGTGATATTCGAATTTTATCCTGAGCGTAACGAATATCAAGGCCCAGGCCATGTGTAAATGTCCAACAAATCTATGACTTCCATGAATTATTTCGATTCTAATAGGACAAATACGGTAATTTAAAAACTGAAGCGAAGGTAAGATTGCCGTGTGTATGGCTGTTCTATTTTACCCCCTGTAAAATAAAAGCTACAAATTTCAAATAAATCTAAGTCTTACATGAATTATTTCTTAAATAAGCACTAGAAAAAATTCTTAACCCAAACATTTTTTTTTTCGTTGGCTACTATTTACTGTCAAATCCAGAGTTGGCCTGTCGTAACTAAGGAGTGAGCCGCTATGTTGACTTGCTGAATCCACAAATGTGCAAATAATGCAATGGAATAGAAAATGAAACGACACCTACCTCAAAACTCCATTTTAATGCAATATTATCCTAATTAATGGCGTATACGTAACGGAAAACCTTCCCTTTAGAGAGTTTTCATTCGTATGACGTCATGTTATGACATGACGTGAATGCGCCAAGATTATTCATGAAATTTCAGGGAATTTTATTTTATTTTGATTTTATACATTTTAAGCTCTTGTGCATTAATTCTTTTTGTTATGCATTATAATAGGAATAACAGTTCTGTAGTTTCTTTTTCAATTTCAATTTGAACATAACGAAATCGACATAGTGTTTGCACATAGGTTAGGATACATGTGGATTTACGTGGGAGGTAAATAGTAATAGCCACCAATATGCACATCTTTGAGTCTGCACTAAGTATAGATATATCGAGAATTTTATCACAGTGTTGTTTACAAAGCGAAAGAAGCACGTCATTTTAGAATGATAATAAACAAATGCCTGGCTTATATAACTGATGGTAATAACTAGTGTGCTTGCATTTCGGTTGATGAAATGTAACCATAAACATGATATACAAATGTCCATGACAGTTTCTCACTCAAAAACATTTGAACAACTGTTCAAAAAACTTTATGATGAGATCGATGAAAACATTTTTTTTTTTTAAATCTGACCTACTGAACCTGGTTTTTTTTTGTGGGGCATGTAATAGGATACTCATCTATTTTTTTAATTTTTGCCTCAGTGGTGTTCGTTTTTTAGCAACAGCTTAAAAGTTAGACACACATACTTCCTTAAACCTTAACTTTAACCTACAATTGTAGGTGGGCCATAAACGTCAGTTTATCAAGTAACAGTAACTGTTTGATTAACTTTTTGACAGCTAGTATCAAACATCTGAATTGGGTAGCTGTATTTATCATGATGATATATAGTCAGTTAAACATATGTTTATATATCTTTTAGCTATGAGTTTAAAAAGGTATTTCAAAAGGGGATTTATTTCTGAAATGCCCTTAAATTTATGGTTTCAGCTTGAGCCCAACCTGATAAATATATTTATGCACTGAGTCACTATCATGGGAGAAATTCTATTTACAGCCATGCCTGGGACACAATATAGTCCTACAGTGAACTATAGTTGCTAACTTCCACATCATTTGGTCTCTGGTGGAAAGTTGTCTCATTGGCAATCATTCCACATCTTCTTATTTTCATACTATATTACAAGACTCCGAGGGCATGATTACTTCTGTTCTTAGTAATTAAGTAATTTTAGCATTTGATAGGTCAAAACTTCCACGATATTACCTCTTTCCCACATAATTCACATAATCCCTTCTACTAGAAAAACCACTTGCACTGTCTGTGACAAAAATATCTTCTTCAATCTCTACAAAAAAGTACATATAAGCCCTGGTTTTTAGGTCTTAATAAATGTTTTGAATCGTTTTTGTGGTGGTTTGATTTGTTTCTTTCATTTTTTTTCTTTAACAAGCACAGTTGTGTTCAGGCCAGGTTTCTTGATCGAACCCTTTCAAATATGATGACTGATGATATGGATCAGGTGAGCTAAAAAGTAATAAAAAGGCAAAATTTTCACATATTTTACCTTATTGTATTCATCATGATTCTTTTCATCTGACATATCACCAAATGTTCCAGTTTCTGAACAACCTGACACCTGCTGCCCACCTTGCCTCGACAGTTCTTTCCTAGCTTTTCTGTCCTTTTTTTTCTGTCTTTTCAAATCTGTGCAACCTGGACCATGAGATTTCTTAGGATTTTTATTCCTGCTACCTGTATCCCTTTCAGCATTGTTATTTGTATCATCATCTGTAGAAGAATCGCTTGTGTCTACACTGTCATTCTCTTTTGAAACACTGGAGTCTGTGCTAGTTGTAATTCCCATGTAATTGTCTCCCGTAGCAAATCCAAATCGATTGCCTTATATGAAAAATGTGACATATAACATATAATAAGTCATTAGTAAGTGCAGTGTACAAAAAAGCCAATGGAACCTCTCTCTGATAGTGCAGTGAAAGAAAATCATTAAATACATTTTTTTATTAGTTATATTTCATAAGTCAATGATCTGTATTAAACTGCAATCTTTATTCAATTGAATAACAAAAGAATGCACATGTTGTCATGCTATGCATATCCCTACTCGTAATTCAAAATATCCCAAAACAGGAAGTAGATGTCCAACAGATCCAAAAGACACACACACATTACAACTCATCACCGTTGAGCTGCAGACGATATTTATACAGAAAAATTAAAAGTATTTACAAACAGGAAGTTGGTGTATGACAAACCTGAAGAATGCTCAAACATTACAAATCATTATGTCAAGCTGCTGACAAAATATAGTCATTAATAGTAGTACCTGAGAAAATATTGGTTGGATGAAACAGACAGTCGACGGACAAGGTGAATGCAATATAGCCCTTACTTTTAGAGTGGGGTATAATAATTATAGTTACCATCAGCAGTTTCGTAAAATGAGTTGCTTGGATAGAGAGGAGAGTTCCAGGTAACAGGCATATGATATCCACTAGTATACACTGGAACATATCCCAGTGTTGATGATGTAGGAAATCTACAACAAATTGCTAATTTATAAATGGCATACTCATGAATACCATTAAAATTAAGTTTTTTATTGTGGTTAAAAATGTAATCTTTGATTACAAAGTTTGCATTATTCTGTCCAGTATGTTCAAATAATTTTAATTTCAGAAAAACAATGCAAAACTTTTTCAAATTTATGGATTTGTCTGACATGAGGTAACAGTTCTGAAGACCAAAAATGAGGTGACAGTACTGAAAGTCAATTACAGAAATTGTAGGTCACTGTTTACTACTTTTGCCTTTGTCTACATAATTATAATTTGCATAATGACTGACATATGAACTTGAAAAAAGTTATAGGCACTGATCTACAAAATTGTCTAACACATTAATTTTTTTTTAAATCTTTCTAGAAATAAAAGCTTCTTATTTTCATATAAGAGCACTTACAATGTAATTTTTCATAGAATTTATATATCCAAGATGCATTAGTCCTTTAGACAAAAGTGCTCATGCTGAAATGCGTCGCCTGCTTTACTGACATGATTTATTCAATGTTGAAAGTCTTAAAATTATAGGTTTTACTACAAGTATCACATAAATGTAACATTATTAATGATTGATGACAATAAGGTCAAGGTCAGATAAATCCTGGCATGTACACATTACAATCATTCAATACAACAAATACAGTTGACCTTTTGTGTATAGTATCAAAGAAATAAACCAAACTGTAAAAACATAACATTGACCATTGAACCATGAAAATGATGTCAAGGTCAGATGATACTTGACAGACATGTACAACTTACAATTCCTTTCACCAAATATAGTTAACTTTTGCTTATAGTATCCAAGAAACAGACATAATGATGTGATGTGCAGGTACTGATTTTGTGTCATGGATGGATACTCCATATCCTTTGTTTTTCTATTAACCAGGAAAACTGAACATTTACCAATGAACTATGAAAATAGGGTCAAGGTCAAATAGAACATGTCAGACAGATAAGTAAACCTTACAATCATTCCACACACCAAATATAGTTGACCTATTATTAACATGAGGTAAAGGACAAATCATACCTGTCAGACAGACATGTTTACCTTAAAATCATTCCATACACTAAATATAGTGGACCTATTACTTAAAAGTATTTGAAAAACAGACCAAAACAGACATGTACCCTTACAATCATTCCATAAACCACATATAGTTTACCAACTGCTTTTATAGCAGTGTTCCAGCTTGAATCTCAGGGCAGAAGGGTGCTAGTTGTCTGAAAGGGCACTTTAGTGTTATTTTAAGGGCAATGTTGGACAGTGTATATATTACCTTGAATATTGCTACACTCAGCTGGAGAACATTAGTTGTATTTAAACCATATTCAGAAATTAATTAGTTCTTGATGTTGGTTCCAGTAAGATTTTTTTTTTTATCAAATTATCATACCATGAAGCAAAGCATATCATTTTGATGTTAATCTAAACAAACTTGTACATTTGGTAAGGAAAATAATCATCAGAAATTTCAATGTTTTATAACTTATACCAAAATAAACAAGTAGTTTTGAAAGATGGAGTTATACATGCAAAATTGAATGTTTAATGTAATTAAATTATCTACATTTAAATTACTTGTTCAAACATATAGTATATATGTTATTGGGAGTTATTTATTATCATTTGAATTGTTACAAAAAAGGATTTTTAAGTGCACACCAAAGTGCTCCTCAGTAAGGAGTTTTATACATATAACAGGTGAGACAGGAGATGATCATATTATATTGATGCAATAATATATTGCAGAAGGTATAAACAGTTACTTTTTTCTCCATCATTGTTAAAAACAAATTTGTTGAGTGCTCCTATGTCAGGAGGATTATAAAATACAAGAAGTAAAACAGGAAGTGAATCTTGTTATGTTCAAAGTACAAATTTCTTTGATTCTTCTTTAAATTTCATACTCATGGTTATGAAACAAAACATTTTTTACCAATTAAAGGGAAAATTCGTGATTTTTTACTTTTCATCTTATTATGTTCATAATACCATAAAAAAACATATTTACCAAGTTTTATCTGGATATGAACACTAATAAAGAAGAAAATTGGGAATTAATAATTTAATTTATTCCAACTTCCTGACTTATGTGACGTAGTTTAAGTCTTTTTGCATGCCGGGAGTGAATAAATCTCGTTGTAAGTCTTGTTCGTTAATCATCTAATAACGCGATTTAAAGCGCATTGACGACTTTTGGCGTAGCTATTAACCAACTAATAATTAAGAAAGTAAAGTGATCCGCCGTGCAACTTTCAAAATTAAAATGTACGATTTATATTTAAAGGATTTCTGATATGATTATAGTAATAAAAGTAAATCATACAATAGAATATATTTTTATGAATTTTTTTTCCGACGGATATTTTGAACAAACATATATAACTGATATTGTTTTACAAATGCATGTTTGTATTCTCACCTGAAGGCTTTTACTTCAGTCTAGCAAACATTTCCCACTAGTACTGGTTAAATACAATGTGTATTGTACTGTGACACTAAGTGACCACCTGTTGAATGCGTGGTTAAATTCAAGGTAATTAAAAGATTAGCATTCTGTAATTCTATTCTTTTGATCTTCACTCAGTGAATTTTAGCCAACACGGTTCGCCGTTACAGGTGTGAACAAAATTTCGTATGAATGATAAAAACATTTCTTATTTGGGGAGGAATATGGTGGCAAAATACCTGAATCGCCATTATATACATGTATATCTTTTATATTTTGTGTAAGCTTAATTTTAAAATAGATAGGTGAGTATTTTGTTGTAACATCGAAATTCTGAATTACTTACAATTAAATAATTTTATAAATAAAAATGGCCCACAAAAACGAGCGTATAAACCAAACACTGTACTTACTTTTTCAAATTATCATGGGTATTAACTTTGAATATTTCAATGTTTAGAGAAAATTATCGCGGTTACATGCTTAATATAGCTTGGTCCGTCCACAGCGATCTACATTTACCTAATCGGGAATGCCCTTATTAAAATATTTAAAATCTCACAACGTATACATACTTTAGCTATTTGACCAACGATGTTTAAAAAAAATAACAGAATCAATCTAACGTCAACTTTCCTTTTTTGAATGGAGACAGACCGGAGGAATCAATTTTCAATGTGCTTTATATCTTGTACCTTTGCAAGACTTATCATTCATTCATAAACCCACTATATACCAGAGACATATATGTAAGTCTTAACTGACAAGAATACACCTAAAGCGGACAAGCAGTATATTCTTTAAGTTTCTGTGATTTAATACCAAGAAAGAAAAAAATCCCGAAATAATTTGATACTTTGATACTCAATATTTTTCCTGGAAAATATTCACATCCTCGTTTGGTCTGAAAATAAGATAGGAATTTGGTATACAGAACATGCAGAAGTGTGAATGTCATAAAACCTTGTTATATCAGAAACCATTATAAATGTGAACCTGTATACGTAAGACCTCATGGGACGTCACCTAACCACATAGAGGTACTATACAAGTAGCTCTGTTATACCCGGAAATGTCAAGGTAAATCACTACCGATACAGAATGTACCAATGCAAAGAAAATTCTGATGATTGTGAAGCATGACCATTCATGATTTTAGAGGAGTCTTAGGTGGAAATTGCCGGTACGATTTAAATTCTGACTAGATTTTTTTCTCTCAATTTAAATCACTGAACTTAAAAAAAAAGGAAACCTATGCCCAAGATCAGAATTCTTCATGTAAATTCATAAATACAACGTTCTTATTTTGTAACTTTCGATATACTTCACCTCCAACCACCGCCCCCTCCCAACCTGGGAACAGTATATCTAACATTACAATGTTTGTGTACCTGCCCAAATAAAAAAATAAAGATGAAAAAAGAAAGAGATGAACGGTAAGTCACATCAGATTCAAATATTTATATGGTTGATTGTCGTTAACTAGAGATGTAAAGTTACATGTCTCTGTGTTAACTTATAAGAATGACAGGAAAGTATATACTTGAAATAGATTTATGATTAATAATATACAACTGCAGCACCCCTTTTTATCAAAGTGTACATGCATGTATTTTAATGACTGTCCGTTATTTCGATTAAGGATGACAATTGTACGTGAAATTCTATAGTTGCCAGTGAGACTTTTTTTTACCAGATATGTGACTTTTCGTATTTATATTTTCTCTTATATTACTCTCATTTAATATTTTATGCATAAGTGCAATATTAGGAATTAGGAATGGTTTATCCCCCTTTTAAGCTAACTAAATAAATTAATCAACACTCTAGCTGACCAGACGTTAATAC